TTGCAGTTCATGGACTGCTTGGCATCCTTTTCACCCTCAGATCTTTTGCCCCTGCCATTCAGTCCCCAGCCCTCCAAGGCTCTGCTTGGTCCTGTCAAGCATCATAGCTTGTAGGCTCCCCATCAAAGAGGTTTCCTGTGACTGCACTAGGAGCTTCGCTGATCCCTGCTGCTTGGGTTTCTTCATGTCGCTCCCCTCCACTGGCATCTACTTTAATTCTATTGCTTCAGAGGATGGAGTGGGAAAGAGATATGCATCTTTTAGCAAGTTCCATGAGGCCTATTTTCCTTGTTACATTGCTAGCATCTACCATACAGTTGCACATTAAATAATATTTGATGAGTGGATGAATGATGAAATAAGCATGTTGTTAAAGTGTCTTTAAATATGGATCTTTCTGATCCATATTTATGGATAAGTAATAAATTAGTAGTCCATTGATTATATTATAACATGTTTACACTTCAGAGTTTATTCCTAGCAATAAACTTGCTCTGTAAACACTTTTTAAAATTATAAATAGAATAATGAGGGCCAGCCAAATATCTCAGTGGATTAAAGCACCTGAAAGCAGGTGCAAGGACTGGGGTTTGATCCTCTGGCCTGCTGTGCTGGCCCCGCCCTTAGGGCATACTGAGATGGCAATTGAGACTGGGCACGGTGGCATGCACCTATAACCCAGCTCTTAGGAGGCTGTAAACAGGCGGATCACTATGAGTCCAATCTAGTAGTGAGACCCTGAACATCCTGTAGACCCTTCCCTAAAAATACAAAATAAATAAATAGAATTATAAATAGAGTAACGATAGACTTTATCTTGAGGAAATAATTATGTTTTAAGCTTTATGATCTGAATGTAGTTGTTCCATAAAATAAATTTAGGTGCTAAATTCTATGATCTCCCTGTGCTCCTATGTTATAAAAAGTGTCTCATATTATAAGAACAATGTGTCCTAAGTCTTTATAATATCAAAACTTTATGTAAGAATATTTTAAATTACAAGAAATATTATATAACAATTATCTATTACAATGTTGCTAAATCATTTCAACCACTTTTGTTGTTTTGATGTTTTTGGTACAGGGTCTCACTACACAGCTCGGACTCATAGTGATCCTCTTGTTTTCAGCATATATATTACAGATATGCACCACCATGCCTGGTTTCATTGGTTGGCTCAGTGTGCCTTGGAGCAGGACTATCACAGCATGTGATGATGAGAATCAAATCCCAGTCCCTGCACTTCTCTAAGCAGGCACATAGGTCACTGACCTATCTTGCCAGACCTTCAACAAATTTTAATATAATAAAATTCCTCAAATACAGGTTGGTCCCTAAAAGTGTTGTTGGATTATATTATTAAGTCACCATTAAGCCAAGGTGAAGATCTTTTGTTCATATACTGCTGTTTTAGGAAAAAAAATATTAAGTGTTTTAAAATAAGAAGCAAAACCAATTACTTTATCCTTATTCTGACACTGGCAATCTTTCAATGACTTCTATTTTTTTAAATAATAAAACATTTTCATTTCAATTACTTTTTTTATTTTTTGTATTTTAGTACAGGATCTATAGGGTTTCATTACACAGATCAGACTTGTAGTGGTCCTCTTGTTTTCAGCCTAGGATTACATGCACATGCCACCATGTCCAGTTTCATTTGCCATTTCAGCTCACCTCAAGGGCGGGACCAGCACAGCACATCAGGGATCAAACCCCAGCATCTGTGTAAACAGGTGCTTTAGTCCACTGAGCTATCTGGTCAGCCCTTATTTTTTTATTTTTAAAGAATACAAAACAGTGATTTTAAAAAAATCATTAGAAATGATACATTTCGCTAAAAAAGTAATAGGAATTTAAGAATGATTGCTGTATTACATGATGCTATCTTCAGATTAGTTCTTCAGATTACCAGACATAAGCATATAAAATTCATTTAAAGAAAAAAAACACAAAACAATAACAAAGAAATTATACAAAATTCAAAAGAGGAAAATCAATCAGAGTACAAAGAAAAAAATTAAACATTAATTGCTCCTTTCAGACCAGCAGAAATCAACAGTATAATTATCCAGGCTGTTCTCCATATATACCTAAATATATCTTTTTCCCTTCATTCATTCTTCCTTTTTCTCATCCCAGCTTTTCCTTCCCATTGAACAATTTCTTTCCTTTTCATGGTATGTGTTTTACCTTTTAAATTTTCATTATTTTTTCAGGTTTTCACACTATTGAGATACTACAGTGTTTGTACATGTGGATCTGATTGCATAATCTACAAAAGCCTCAAATTACTCTTTTCACCTACCTAAGTATATTCCATTCTGTATCAACACCACACCTTTTTTTATTCATTCCTCAGTTGATGGGCATTTGGGTTGTTTCCAAGATTTAGCAAAGAGAAATTGTGCTGCTATAAACATGAGTGCACATATATTGCTGTGGTATGATGATTTCAGTTCTTTTGCAAAAAATACCTAGGAGAGAAATAGCTGGCTTGAATGCAAGCTACAATCCCAGCATTTTGAGGAACCTCCATACTGATTTCCATGATGGTTGGAAATCAGCACTCCCGCCACAGTGGAGAAGGGTTTCTTTTTCCCTACAGCCTCTCCAACATGTCTTAATGGCTGATTTCTTGATGATGACCATTCTTTCTGGCATAAGATGTTATCTCAGCATTATTTTAATTTGCATCTCTTGAATCACCAATGATGCTGAACATTTTTTCATATAATTATTTGCCATTTGTAACTCTTCATTTGTGAAGTGTATATTCAGCTCAGAATCCCAGTTTTGGATTGGGTCTTTGAATTTTGGAAGCCTGATTTTTTTAACTCTTTATATGTTCTACATAGGAGTCCTTTGTCTGAAGTTTAGTCTGCTGTAATTCTATCCCACTTTATGGGTTTTCTTTTTATTCTGTTGGTGATTTCATTTCAAGTACAGAAACTTTTCAAAAAGATCAGATCTCAATTGTTGATTCTTTGAAGTATTTCCTGTGCAATTTGATTTTTGTTTATAAACTCTCTACCTACCCCTATGACCTTAACATTTCTACCTACTTTCTCCTCTAGAAGATTTAGTGTTTCAATTTTAATATTTAAATCTTTGACCCATTTTGATTGTAGTTTTGCGTATGGTGATAGGGATGAGTCTATTTTAAGTTTTTGGCATGTGAAAAGCCACTTTTTCCAGGCCCATTTATTAAAAAGGCTATCTTCCTTCCAATGAAAATGTTTGGCTCCTTTGTCAAAGATAAGATGGCTAAGTGCATTTGTAGTTATGTCCATTGATCCTCAGGTCTTTTTGTTTTGTTTTGTTTTGTTTTTGTTTTTATCACAATTGCTCTGATTTTATCACAGTAGCTTTGTAGTATAATTTCAAGTCAGACACTGTGATATCTCCTGCCTTTCCTTTGTTGCCCAAGATTGCTTTTGCTATTTTAGTTCTCTTCTAGTTCCAGATGAATTTTAATATTTTTTTATATCTGTAAGGTATATTAATGGTATTTTAATTGTAATTGCATTGAATCTGTGTAATAATTTTGATAGTATGACTATTTTCACAATGTTGATTCTTCCCATCCAGGAACAAAAAATATCTTTCCATTTTCTGAAATCCTCTTTGATGTCTTCTTTCAGAGTACTATAATTTCACTATATAAATTTTTTGCTTCCTTTGTAAGATTGATTCCTAAGTATTTCATTTTGGGGGAATTATGTGAAAGGCATGGTTTCTATAATTTCTTTCTTGGTATGTTCAATGTTTGTATATAGAAATGCTATTGATTTTTAAATGCTGACATTGTATCCTGCTTTGCAACTGAATTTTCTTTAAATCTACAAGTCTCTTGGAGTTTTTGGAGCCTTCTATATGCAGTATAATGTCCCCTGAAAATAATGATAATTTTACTTCTTCTTTTCCAATAATTATTTCTATTTATTTCTCTTGTCTGATCATTCTGACTAATGTTTTCAGAACTATATTGAAGTGTTGACAGTGGGCATCCTTGTCTTGTTCCTGATTTTAAAATGAAGGCTTTCAACTTTTTTCCATTAAGTAAGATGTTGTCTGTTGGTTTCTCATAGATGGCTTTTATCCGGTTGTGGTAAAGACCATCTATTCCAATTTTCTGTAGGATTTTTATTATGAATGAATGTTGGACTTTGTCAAAGCTTTTTCTGCATCTATTAAGCTAATCATGTGATCTTGTCTTTGACTCTATTGGTGTGGTATATTAAATTTACGATTTTGTGTATACTAAACCAACCCTGAATTCCTGGTATGAATCCCACTTGGTGGTGATGTATAATCTTCTTAATGATTTGTTGCATTGTGTTTGCTAGTATTTTATTGACAACTTTTACATCTGTATTCTTTAGGAAGATTGGCCTGTCATGGTCTTTTTTTGGTTGGGTCCTTCTCTGGTTTTGTTATCAGAGTAATACTTGCCTACAGCAATAAGTTTAGGAGAATAGCTTTCTTTTAGAATCATTGAAGAGTTTGAGAAGATTTGGCATTAGATTTTCCCTAAATTTCTTGTAGAATTCAGCTGTAAATCCATCCAGCACTGGGATTGTGTTTGTTGGCAGGTTTCTTATTACATTTTAAATTTCATTGACTGATATTGGGTTATTCAGAAATTTTATATCTTCTTGCTTCAGCTTTGGTAGTTCATATGTATCGAGGAATCTGTGCATTTGTTCTGAATTTCCATTCTGTGAGAGTAAAGATTTTGGAAATGGGTATTGATTATCTTCTGAAGTTTTATAGGGTCTGTAGTGATTTCACTCTTTTCCTTCCTCATTGCATTAATTTGATGTCTTCTTTCCTTTTTTAATGAGATTTGATAGGGGTTTATCAATTTTATTTGTTCTTTCAAAAAGCCAACTCTTGCTTTTCAACCTTGTCCACCAGTTAGCGCAGCCTGTGGTGCAGCGGCGGCGGCTCCTCTTCGTGCCGCAGCTCTCACCCCCTCCTTCCCTTCCACCAGACCTGGGGCTTGCTGGCCATGGCTCTACTTACTGCGGCCACCTGGCCTTGGGAGCCAAGAACTCATCCTGTTTTGTTCTTGCTGCCCGACATGCCAGTGCTTCTTCCACGAATTTGAAAGATGTATTGGCCAACCTGATACCTAAGGAGCAGGCCAGAATTAAGACCTTCAGACAGCAACATGGCAAGACGTGGTGGGCCAAATCACTGTGAACATGATGTATGGTGGCATGAGAGGCATGAAGGGACTAGTCTATGAAACATCAGTTCTTGATCCTGATGAGGTCATCCGCTTCCGAGGCCACAGTATCCCTGAGTGCCAGAAACTGCTGCCCAAAGCTAAGGGTGGGGAAGAGCCCCTGCCTGAAGGATTATTTTGGCTGCTAGTAACTGGACAGATCCCAACAGAAGAACAGGTTTCGTGGCTCTCAAATGAGTGGGCAAAGAGAGCAGCTCTGCCTTCGCATGTGGTCACCATGCTGGACAACTTTCCTACCAATCTGCACCCCATGTCTCAGCTAAGTGCAGCTGTTACAGCCCTCAACAGTGATAGTAACTTTGCCCGGGCATATGCAGAGTGTATCAACCGAACCAAGTACTGGGAGTTGGTTTATGAAGATTGTATGGATCTGATTGCAAAGCTACCTTGTGTTGCAGCAAAGATCTACCGGAATCTTTACCGCGAGGGCAGTAGTATTGGGGCCATTGACTGTAAGCTGGACTGGTCCCATAATTTCACTAACATGTTAGGCTATACGGATGCTCAGTTCACGGAACTCATGCGCTTATACCTCACCATCCACAGCGACCATGAGGGTGGCAATGTAAGTGCCCATACCAGCCATTTAGTGGGCAGTGCCCTTTCAGACCCTTACCTGTCATTTGCAGCAGCCATGAATGGGCTGGCAGGGCCTCTACATGGACTGGTGAATCAGGAGGTGCTTGTGTGGCTAACACAACTACAGAAGGAAGTTGGCAAAGATGTATCAGATGAGAAGTTACGAGACTACATCTGGAACACACTTAACTCAGGACGGGTTGTCCTAGGCTATGGCCATGCGGTGCTGAGAAAGACTGATCCATGATATTCCTGTCAGCGAGAGTTTGCTCTGAAACACCTGCCCAATGACCCCATGTTTAAACTGGTTGCTCAACTGTATAAGATTGTACCCAATATTCTCCTAGAGCAGGGCAAGGCCAAGAATCCTTGGCCCAACGTAGATGCTCACAGTGGGGTGCTGCTCCAGTACTATGGCATGACGGAGATGAATTATTACACAGTCCTATTTGGAGTGTCACGGGCTCTGGGTGTGCTGGCACAGCTCATCTGGAGCCGAGCTTTGGGCTTCCCTCTAGAAAGGCCTAAATCCATGAGCACAGATGGTTTGATGAAATTTGTGGACTCTAAGTCAGGGTAAAACTTGGGAACTGGGGGGAAACTTGACTACCAGAAGATAAGAAGCTTAACAACAACAAAATAGTATACTTTTGTTTCAAGGGACCTTTAAAGATTTAAAATTAAATTGTATCTGAGGCACTGAAAATATGTTTGACATTAAAATATAAATTAAGACTTTAAAAGATAAAAAGTGATCCCTTCTTCATAACCAGCTCCCTTCCCCTGCCTGGTATGAGTTTCCCCTCAGCTGGAGGATGACTGGGAGTAATGCATGTGATATGGGTTAGGTTTGGCCCCCACCATGTCTAAAGTAAGAATCTGGCTCCTCTTTTTTGGGTCAGAGCAGTTTACAGACAATCTGTGGTCACTGGAGCTTTTGCTTCTGCTCTGCTCAGCCCTCTAGACTTAGGAAATCAGGACCTTGCGCTTCCTGTTTCCACAAAGATCACTTTGGATTATCAGCTAGCTATGCCAAGCCCTCGCCCATGCACATAGATGCCTTCTAGTAAGACCTATTGGATAGCTGGGCATGGCTTGGCAGTGTCTTTTTTATGCTACCAAGTAACTGTGAAGGTATGGCATTTGTTGTGACTGGCACCACCTAATGCTTCATTTGATTTTCATTGTTATCCCATCAAAATTGAAGTCTGGGGGGCCTGGGAGCTGGCTCAGTGGAATAAGTGCTTCCCTCGCAAGCGCAAGGGCCTGAGTTCAATCCCCAGTTCTGCCCCCCCAAAAAACAACAACAACAACAAAAAAAACCTGAAGTCTGGAAGTATTATTAAAACCTCCTTCCAGACTTGATGTACCTGATCTGCCTCATGCTGAGGGTACTCTGGACCTTCCCCTCTTGGTCCCTACTAAAGACTCTTTAGTAGGTCTGTCTGATCTGTGGTCTTTCCCAATCACTAGGATTTAACAGCAATTAATGTGAACTAAGCTTTTACTTCTGCAGAACTCAAGCCACTACAGTCTGACCTTTCTCCTGGTAATACACTATGGGGGATAGAACAGGAGCTCAGGAATGACTGGCCTTTTCATGGACTGGTCCCAGGGGTATGAACATTTCCTTTTGAGCAAAGAGATGATTCAAGATTATATATGGTCTTCTTAGAATATCAGGTCCATGGGCTGGGGACATTGAGTGTAGTAAGCCTCCCTTCCCATCCCTGCCACAGAAAATGCTCCCTTATTTATCAGTGTCTTTTTTTTCCTGTCCCCTTTGGAAAAGCTCACGGTACAGTGTGTGTTTTAGAAGCCCCATTAACACAGGTTTTCAGTGACTCAGAATGCTCCACTGCCTTTTCTTTGAGAAAGGCTGCAATACACTCCTGCTGTGGCCCTTCTTCCCTTTATGCACCGGCCTGCGTTTGTGTGGATCCGCAAACCCCAGAACCATGCTGTTGAGGTGGACACTGTAAACCCCTGGGTAACCGTCAAGTCATGCAGACTTCAGTTTGTTCTGTATAAAATAAAAAATAAATGTTTTTATTAACAATGAAAAAAAAAACCAACTCTTTGACTCACTAATTCTTTGTGCTGATTTTTTTTAGTCTCCATTGCATTTATTTGTGCTGTGATCTTTATAATTTCCTACCTTCTTTGGGCTTTGAATGTGACTTGCTCTTCCTCTTCTAGGAGTTTAAGGTGCAGGATAAAGTTGTTTTTTGAGCTCACTCTGTTTCCTTAATGTGAGAATTTGTTGCTATGAATTTCCCACTTAAGACAGCTTTCACTTCATCTCACAAGTTCCAGTAAGTTGTATCTGCATTTTCATTTGATAGTACATGTTGTTTAATTTCTTCTTTAATTTCATCTGTGACCCATTGATTATTCAGAAGTGTATTATTTAGTTTCCATGTGTTTATACAGTTTTTGCTCTTTCTTTTGTCAATAATATCCAGTTTCATTGCACTATGGTCAGATAATATGCATAGGATAATTTTGATTCCTTTGCATTTACTTAACCATGTTATATGTGCTAGCATGTGATCTATTTTGGATAACATCCCATGTGCACTTAAGAAAAATGTGTATTGTGATGCTGTTGAATGAAACACTCTGTAAAGCTCTACTAAGTCCATTTCTTCACAAGTTTAGCTTAGTTCTGTTGTTTCTTCACTCATTTTTGCATGGTTGATCTATTTCTTTGTGTCAATGGGGTATTAAAATCCCCCAATACAATTATATTATTGCTCATTAGATTTTTAGTGTCTGTTAAAATTTGTCTTATATATTTGAGTGCTTCTACATTGGGTGCACATGTATTTATACTTGTTATCTCTTCCTCTTGCCATATTCCCCTAACAAGTATGTAGTGACCTTCTTTGGTTCTTTGATCACACTTGGTTTGAAGTTGACATTGTCAGCAATCAGAATAGCTACCCCTGCTTTGTTCTGGGTTCCTTTCTCAAAAAGTATTGTTTTCCATTCTTTGGAAATGTCTTTTAATTTCTTTATGAGTTAAATGATTCTTCTATGCAGCATTTTATTGTATTTTTTCTCTTTATCCAGTGTGCCAGTTTACTTATTTTGATTGGTGAATTGAGGCCATTAACACTGATAGTTATGGCTGTAGTTACTGGCTTATCTTTGTGATGTAGTTTTCCTACTGTAGGATCCCTACTTTTCCCCTTTGCTTGATTACTTGCTCTGCTTAATAGTTTTCTTCTGTTGTTGTTGAACTTGTGGTCATCTTTGTCTCTAAAATATTTGTCAGTACTCTTTGTAGGATTGTTTAGTTGTCATGAATTTGTCCAGCTGTTCATTGTCATGGAAGCATCTAATTCTTCCATTAAATTTGATAGATAGTTTTGCAATCTGGGTTGAAAGATATTTTCTTCCAAGAAATCATATATCTCACCCCAAACTCTTTTTTATTTGATGGTCTGTGTTGAGAAATCTTCCATGATTCTGATGTGCTTTCCATTATAGGTGATCTGTATTTTCTCTCTAACAGCTTTTCGTATTCTGTTCCTTTTGCTCAATTTCTGGGATCTTTATTATTATGTGTGTGGGTGATTATTTAGCTGGAGTTCTATATGCTCAAGTTATCTTTGTATCTGTCATTTTCCATGCTTGGGAAGTTTTCTGCTACTACTTCTGCAACCACTTTTTTTTTAAATGTCTTTTGTGTTAGCTGCAGCTGTTTCATTCATACCTACTAGTATTCTATTATTTTTCTTCACATCATCTTGCAGCTGTTGTACTGTTATTTTCTGGTTTCTCACTATTTTTAATAGCTATTTTCTTTCATGATCACTAGCTGCAATGCTATTTTCAAGGTCTGAAATTCTATCTTCTGTTTCATTCAAGTGGTTTTCCACCTTTCAATGGAATTTTTAATGTTCTGGAAATCTGTTTCATGCATTCTAATTCTTCCTTATATTGTTCATGCACTGTTTCCATCATTTTCCTATGCCATTCTATTTGTTTTTATCTGTGTCTTTCTTAGATGTATCAAACAATTCTTTCATGATTGTTATCATTTCCTTTTTTACCTGACAGATTACTTCTGATCTGATTTCATTGCCCGATATAATTGTTTCTTTACTTCAGTTGCTATCAAAGAAATTTCAGGTGTGTGACTTCCAAGCTCTTCAATGATCTTGTCTCATGGACTTGTTTTGGGTGGCTAGAGGTCTGAGATTTCCCTTTGTTTCTTCCTTTAGTCATTTTTGCAGTGATGGCAGATGGGTGTGGTTCAGATGAGAAAGGCTTTCTGGAGAGTATGAAGGCAGGGTAGGCTCACCAATGTTCCTGATGTGTGGGATTCAATGTGATATCTACCTCATTAAGGAGAGGGAGCAAGCCAAAGTTCAAGAAGAATCTGATAATAATGAGTGCAAGCCAAAGTTGTACAAGGCTATATTGATGGTCATTGGCACAGAGTAGTGCTCTCCAAGACTCCTATGAGTTGCTGTGGAGTCACATATTCCTGGTGGTCTTCAGGTCAAGGATGGGCAGCCAGGCTCAACAGAGCTCCAACAGGAAAGCTGGGGGGTGGGAGGTAGCGCTAGGGCTATGACATACCACCAGCAGTACTCAGAGCAAAGAGGGGTGGCTGGACTCAGCAGGACTCTAGCAGAAATCTCAATTACTTTTTTTGAAGGAAAACTATCTACTTGAGAGAAATCATTTATTCTTTTTATTTTTTGGACCCAAAAGCTGATCAGTTTCAACCATAAATATTTCTAGATTTCCCTTTGTTTTAGAAGGAATGCTCTTGTATTGACTATGACTAAGAGGTTTGGCAAAACCTTTTTTACTTATTCACTATACAAAACTACATCTAAAAAACTGAAAGGACAGGCAATAGCATATTAAGTATGGATAGAGAAACACTTCTAGCAAGAAAATTCCCATAAGAAAGGGCTGGCCAAATAGCTCAGCAGTGCCTGCAAGCACACACAGGGGCCAGGGTTTCAATCCCAGGGCCTGACATGCCAGCCCTGCCCCTCGGGCATACTGAGATGGCAACTGAGACTGGGCATGGTGGCATGTGCCTGTAATGTAAGCACTTGGGAGGCTATAAACAGAAGACTCAGTATGAGTCTGATCTAGTAGTGAGACCCTGAACACCCTGTAGACCCTTCCCTAAAATACACACACACACACACACACACACACACACACACAAATTCCCATCAGTGTTATAGATCAAATAATTCTCACTATGATGAGGAGAATTTCAAATGATAGTGGGACAAACACACTAAAAAAATTTGATTCTACTTAAGTTTATTTTCGTACAAATAAGAAATAGAAGTCAAATTTCAAGCTTCTCTATAATGATGCCCAGTTTTCCCAGAACCATTTATTGATAAGGCTGTCTTTTCATGAATAAATGTCTTGTTTCAGACATTATATTTAAATATAAAGTCCTACAGTTTCAAAGTGAAGGAATGGGGGCTGGGGAGGTAGCTCAGTAGAATAAGTGCTTGCCTGGCAAATACAAGGTCCTGAGTTCAATCCCTGACATTGGGGGAAAAAAGATGAAAGATGTGCTATGTAACACAAATTTAGAAAAAGCCACTTCCAAAAAGAGTAGACTACAAATTAAGCAAAATTATTAAAGTTCAGATAAAAAGTAACAGAACTACA